AGAAGACGATAAAATTTTTTTTTTATATCACTTGTTAAATTTATCGAAACGTTTCTAGAGGAATGCTTATGAACCAAACATTGGTCGTTAATGCGTGCAACTAGATTAGATAGCCACATGTACTGTTATTTTCATAGCTTAGTGCAACTTCACTCGAATAGAGCCGGTTGAATCTTTGAAATTCAACTTGTTCTGCAACAGAAGAAAGCCCATTTTGGAGAGATATTTGTTGAGATGTGGGGCTTGAAGGAAAGTCCACACTAGAACAGACACCACAGTGCTGCAAAACGCGACTTCCCAGGCCGGTGTAACCATGTCCAGAACGACATTCCTACATTGAAGTTTCATTTGTTCCAAGCTTCGAGACAGATTTATAGGCATAATTACATCAAGGAGTCGTGTGTTGATGCGAGGAGCTGTATCCTCTCGATTCAGTTCTTAAGTCATCGATATCGATTCCGAGCAATTGTCCGAGCAATTGTGCTCTCTCTCTCTCTCTCACACACACACACACACACACTCTCTCTCTCTCTCGGCAGTCCTGAAAGGTTTTATCTCGATGGAATAAAGAAGGTGCGATGTGTTGAGAGTGGTGGATTTCAACACACAATTTTTTTGTGTGATATGTTATGAAAAATATTAAAATCTCATGGATGTAAATTAGAAAGTGTGTATATTAGAAAGATAGATATTAGTGAACCTAATTGTGTTATAATTATATGAAATTTCTATATTGTGAAGTCTAATTTGAGGAGATCTAAATATATGATATCTCTTATATTAGGAATATTGCTAATTTGCATACTCTAATCCTCTTATATGTATACCCTAATTTGACTGATTGCTCTTTTCTCCTCATATGCTGATATTTAAATTGCCTCCTCCCATGGACAAAGATGAATTTGTGCCAAACTCTGCAAGTCGCACAGTGTTTGGTTATTTGTTTTTGGTGTGAATTTATTTTATATATTATTTTGCATAATAATTAGTATCAGAGTTGGTTCAGCAATTCTGACGATGGGCGGCTGTGGTTCTAGCAAAGTCGTGGATGCAAGACAAAGTGATTGGAGCAAGTTAAGCTACAAGATATGGGCATATTCTAATTTGTGAAGATAAATGTGACTGATCTGTGAAGAAAAAAATTAGGTAAAGAATGGTGGCTATGATGATACTTCTCAAAAGTAGGACAAATCTCATGGGCGTATTCTTGGGAAAAATCAGTTTGTTTTTTTATTTAGAAATTGGTCATTTGAAGAAAGATGGTCCAAAATTGAAGGAAATGGGAAATGAAGTTTTCCTTAAGATGAAATTCAATCTTATTGTAGAGAGGAGTGGCTTTGCGAATTTGGATGTATTGCATTTTGCAGTTTATCCTAGTTTATATATGGATGATTTGTGTTGGATACTGGTCACATGTGCTACTTATCACATTTGATCCCATCGAAGGTGGTTCTATACATATAGGAAACTGGATAAGGGTATAATGAATATGAACAATGATCAAACTTGTTGTAGTATTGGGGCAAGCAACATCTTTATCAGGATGCATGATGGTATTTTTGGTAGCTGATTGATGTTAAATATGTTTTGAATATCAGAAAGAATTTGCTATTAGTTAGGGTCGTAGTGGCCAAGGGCATGAGTTTTGAGGTTATATTGTGGAGCACTGATCTTATGAAGGGGGCTTGCCATCACAATCTTTATTATCTAAAGGGTAGTACAGTGGGTGGAGCTATGACTGTTGCTAATGATTCTTACGATGGCACCACATTGTGGCATATGCAACTAGTTTATGCTAGAGAGGCTTTATTTTAGGCTTTGGTGAAGCAAGGATTGGTCAAAAGTGCAAGGAACTGCAAGCTTGATTTATGTGAATATTATGTGTTTGACAAGAATAGTAATTGTTTGTGGCATGATCCATGCTCACCACACTTTTTAAGATGTTGATTTCAAATTTGTCAGTGAATCGCACCAGCATAAGCCAGAAGAGAGAGAGAGAGAGAGAGAGAGAGAGAGAGAGAGAGAGAGAGAGAGAGGAAAAAACAATAATCACTTGTGTTTTATTCATAAAATGTTTCTACTATTTGTAGGGGACGGGTATATGATGATATTACATTTTTTTTTCTATTTGGAAGGGGTATATACTAGGACTTTTTTGATATTTGAGATGTATGGGCTTATCACACATCCACTGCTTTCGGCTTGGTCGACTAAGCTTAGTCGGCTTTGAATCAATGGGATCAACTCGGTCTGCACGGGTTGATCGGCTGATCTAGCATTGCTGCCAATCCTTAAGCCATGGTGAGAAGCCTTCGAGGCGTCTGTGGGGTGGTTGAAGATACTATAAAATTGGACCTTCCTTGGAATGGGCTCTATTGGAGGGTAGGCTATTGTACCGGGTCATCTTTTTTATAGCGGTTGACTCAAATGCACTTTTGTCTCATTTTTTGTTGAATGACCCTTGCTTGGATCATCCAGTCGTATTCTCATCTGTCTCGTGGTCTGGTCGGCTTCGGTCGGTTGGTCGAGTGGGACTCACGATCTTCTGACAGTGATCTGACCTTTGTTGTACTCTTTCTTTCTGGACCATTGGATTTCTTTAAGATTTCTTTAAGATATGTTGACATATTTTTGATGCATAACATAAAAAAATATCACTATTTTAACTTTTTAAAAGTGAAACATACAAAATTATAGTTTAGATGTTAGACTTCATATATAGAAGTCGAGAGGTAGCATATAAATCTTCCTAATAACTATTATCTTAATTTTATGAATAGTAGATCTCAATTTAAATGTAAACATGTGATTTTAAATATTACATATATCAATTTCTTCTAGGTAAAAACTTTTGTCATTTAAAGTTTTTGCACTTTTCTAATGTTTTGGTGGTTGCTCACCTCGTTGATTGACTCTTCATGCTATAGTCCCCCATCAAGCATTAGTGGTTGCTGCCCCTGCCCGCTCCATTTCTGGTCATCATTCACCTTTGCTTGCACTGCCACAAACTTCTGCTTGTCGCTCATTGCCTGTAGTTGCTTGCTGCCAATAGGGCCTACCAGCTATCACCTTCAGTCACTATCGCTGTTGATCATCATCACCATAGTGCCCAATGAGTTTTATTCTACATTTGTAGCGTACTAATTCAAATTAAAAAAATATAAAATCAAGCATTCATAATATACTTATCCAAACACCTACATATACATTTCTATATACTGCATATAAATTACGTGTATTGCACTTATATTGGATTCTTTTTTCAAAAGTACAAAACAACCCCAATGTATAATTCATATGTTCAGAATTGTTTGTTTGAATTTAGCGTAAAACTCGAAGATGATGGTCAATGATTGTAGCTGTTCTGTGAACGAATGAACACTATAGGCTGAAGGAGATGATGGGGGAAACCAATACTACCGTTTGGTGGTCTAGAGCGACAAAGAACAATTGGTGGTGGATGGCTGAAGACATTTGACAATAATGGAGGGTGACAAATAAACTTTCACTCTTGCAAGTATTTAAAATTATAAATATTTCAAAATTAAACAATATATTTTTTCATCCTACTAAAACAAATTACTTTTATAAAAAAAGTATTTTCAATTTACTTTATATCTATTTTTAATATACCGAACAGCTCTTTTGAATGATAAACTTTTGCTTCTATTTTATAAATTAAAAAAATAACAAAAAGTATTCTATCAACAGGAACTGATTAAGGGTCCGTTTGGGACAGCTTATAAGTGTGGGCGGCGTTTTGAAAACGCCGTTGGCGTTTTACTGTTTGGTTCGCGCGTTTCATCAGCTTATCCGAAATTGTGTTTGAGTTTTTACACTAAACTCAGACAGCGAGTCGACCCCGTAGCCGCGTTTACGCACAAACTGCCCCAAACAGGCCCTAAATGATTTTGTTGCGATCGAAGTGGAACGCAAACTTGATAAGAATGTTCTTATCCATTGGTCCACTTCCTCATGGGCTGCAAGCAAAAAAAAAAAAAGAACAATTAATGAGGGAATCATGGCCACGTCAAAAGTTATCGGCCTAATCAAGTCGCCTATGCATCCTAATCTCTAAACAGAAATAGTTTTATTTATTAATTGTGTTTTTAATATATCTTATTCCCTAGAATTAGGGACAGATTCGGTAGAGCCCCTCCTCAAATTCAAATTTTTATTGATACGAAAAGATAATTTGATTTTTTACCCCCTATAAGTAACATTTTTGCTTATTCTTAAATATCACTTTGTCAATTGTTGCCCTAGCTTCAGCCACGTTGGATCTAAGATATCAGCTTTCCTCCTAAAAAAATAGGCTTATTCCGCCCCTGCCTATAAGAAAAGGGACCGCTCAATTTTTATTAAGTTTCATTTCTAATATCTAAAATTTTAATATTACATACATACCACCAAATTCCTTATGATGTTGGAGCTGAAGTACCACAGGTAGGTGGGATGTTAGGTTGAAGCTTTGTGAAGGCGGGCGAGAAGAAGTAGGAGCGAAACAAGGTTTTCCTTTTCTCAATGGTTTTGGGTAGGAGTTGGGGGGAAGAAGGAGAAAGATGAGAGTTTTAGAGATCTTTTTATGTCGAGATCCGGTCACTGCCTTCCCTCATAAGCTTGTGAAGGCAGGTGGGAGGATTTGAGTGTAGTTTCGGTTAGCGGGGCAATAAGAAGAGAAAGATGATAGCTTTTGGAGGTCTTTGTACGACACAATCACATTGTTGCTTTCCTCTAAGGCTTGTTAAGGCAAGTGGGAGGACTAGGGTGTGATTTCAAGTAGAAGCGAGATGAAAATAAAAGCAATATAAGAGTGTTGAAGATCTCTGCCTGCCATGAATTTTTTTTGTGAACCTTAATAGATGGAGTGATATTGATGATTAATGAAAAAGAATTGAGCGGTGCATATATATATATATAATATAATATAATATTAAAATATTTTATAATAAATGTGAAAACTAATAAAAATTTGGTGATATGCGTGTAAATCCCCTATAAGAAAATGAGAGCGCTCCTAAGCCGCGGCTCTAAAACCGAAGCGCACCGTGTTAGAATTGGATAGTGGAGGTCATCAAACTTCAGTAACGGCGTATTCTAATCGTCGGGAATTCCTCGTTCTCTGTTCCGGGTTTCCTTCGACGTTCACTGGATTAGGGCGGCTTCAGGTTTCATTTTGGTTCTGCGTTTTCTATTAGCCGCAGAGATGAGTCATGGAACGAAGTGGTTGCATCACCTCACGAAGCTATCCTCTGCGAATATCTCAGCTAGTTTGATAGAGAAAGGGCAGAATCGAGTAATTGAAGCCTCTCTCACTCTGATTCGTGAGAGGGCCAAGCTCAAGGTGCCCTCTGTTTCCACAGAGAATTTATTGGATTACTTGTTGTGAAAAAGGATGTCGGCTCTTCCAATTAAATTATTATGCTACGTGCTTTGTTAGTTATCCAGCGCTGCACTTCTGTGTGTTGCCGCAAGATTACTATTTTTTATATGAAGCTGTCAATTGAGTAGCCATGAGAACCATTCCATGAAACGCATTACTGTTTTTAAGTTTATCTTTACCACACTCTGGACAGATTATGCACTTTATTGTTCCAAAGGTGCCAAGTTGGCTCCCTGCTCTTAAAGATTTGTTTATTTAGTTATTATATTGATCATTTTCATCACACCTATACAATTGCCTCATGAACAAACAAGAAGAAATCGGAAAAATATCTATTTTGTCTTCGGTTTTTGATTTAATAGTTTGCTTGATGTCTTAGATGTGGTCATGGTGTTCTGTAGGTTTATTTCATTTCAAGTTTTGAATTTGAGGATCTTTATTTAATTGGAAGTTAGAATTGTTACTGCTTGTAGAGGTGAAGAAGATATGATACAGAAAGGATTTGATTATCCTATATCATCTAAATTAGGATGTGGCCATGTTCCTGTTGTTTAATTATATGACAAAAGATTGAATAGACTAGGCAATTTCAAGTCATTTCATTAAAACGTTTGGATGCACGCATATAACTCCTTCAGAAACCCTAAACCCTAAACCCTACGAATATAGACAGATGGAACATTCTTATATGCAACATAATAATTTCTTCTTCTTCTTCTAAGGAAGCCATGGTAGTGAATAGAATTGGGTGAGTCTCAATGTGCTTCCTTGAAGATGGTTGTGTTGTTAGCTTCTGCAGATATTTACTGATGAAATAGACCAACCCACTTCCTATCTCCATGAATTATGAATGTGAATGTAGTTATTCAGATCTCCACACCAATCTTTATTTTTGAGATGACGTTTGTATATTTAATTTTGAATTTTCTAGGGAGAACTTCTCCGTGCTTTGGGTGGAGTAAAAGCTTCAGCAGCACTTCTAGGAGTTCCACTTGGCCACAATTCATCTTTCTTGCAAGGCCCTGCCTTTGCACCTCCTCGCATTAGAGAAGCCATATGGTGCGGCAGCACCAATTCTAGTACTGAAGAAGGTAAGTTAAACCCAACGAGAAGCACATGTTGAAGCTAATCATCTTGTTGATAACTATATCTACGCCAGGCTTGGGCTAGTGATGTTGAACTATTTATTGTGGAGCAATTTGCTTTTCTATCCTAAAATATTCAAATTATTACTGTTGTATGAAAATTTTGCTTTTACTAGTTTATTGTAGAACCGTTTACTTTTCAATCCCAAAATATATAGGAGGGCAAATTTTCTCAGCTTGAATGATGGTTTTATAGTTACTCAGCAGGGGTGTTTTGTTCTCCTCTTTTTGGAAGTCATATAATTTAGCTCATCCAATTATTTCTGAGTAAACCTGTGCTGATTTAACATTTTTGAAATTTAATTAAACCTATTTCATAAAGACATTGAAGTAAGAAGCATTATTGTGTAAGGTGAGCTTTTTAATTATAATGGGCGGCGGCTTTCCTGGAGCTGCGATTTGGTGTTAGTGGCAGTTTGCTCTCTTTGAAGGTGTCCGAGGCAGCTGTAAGAATTATTTGGCACTGTTTTAATTGGATTGTTATTGAATGATGATAATATTAATAGTTAATGAGTGAGTTTTTTTTTTTCCCTTAAATTTTTATGCGCTCACGTATAGCGCTCTGTATGCAGATATCTTTTACCTGATGAGGCAAAATAGGCACATGATTGTGTTATACTTGCCTATTTTTTAGTTCTCATATAAGAAGAATTAATAATGGGATCACGTTAAAATGATCTTTATTCTAAAGTGCAGATTCATCTTTTTTTCTTGTTCTCTAGTTTCCTTGTGTCTGGAATATTTCAATATCTTGCACTGTCTCATTTTGACTTTTATACAGGCAAAGAACTAAATGATCCTCGTGTTTTAACTGATGTTGGTGATGTTCCTATCCAAGAGATTCGAGATTGTGGTGTAAATGATGACAAGTTAATGAATATAATTAGTGAATCCGTCAAACTCGTGATGGAACAAGTGAGTCTCTCCCTCCCTCTGCCACATTCTCCTAAATTGCTTGGCGTATGTTTGAGATTTTATATATGTATCGTGTGCGGGATATATTTACAGTGTATATGTGGTTATTATTTGTTGATAATAGTTTAGCCATCAGTATTTTTGCTATAATCCCTTTCTCTTAATATACTATCAACTTTTATATGAGAATTTCATCTCATTCATTCATAATTTCACATGAGAGAAAGTCAAACAATAAGTTTAAAATAAATTCGAGTGCCATCCATTGATTTGAATTTAATTCCTGGGAGTCTCACAAAACGCCATACTGAAAGCCGAACCATTTTGGTTTCAGAAGGTTGGAATACACTCTGACTTTGGATTTGCTCTTCGTGTCACTCCAAATAGAATCTTTTTGGGATTTATTGATTTGTGTTTTCCGGGTTAATTATTCATTCTGGGCTATTAGGTGCAACCACTTCCTGGTTCTTCAATTTGCCAATTCAGTTTCTATTTCCATACTTTTAAATGCGTTTCTGAATTTTCTTCCTTTGTGGCTATTAAAGAAGTTTTTTTTTTTTTTACTTCTTGAATTCTCTTTAATTGCCATTACCAACCTTTGTAAAGATTACCAATCACCTCTTTCTAGTCTGCCATATCCAGTTTAAGGAAGCTGAAGCTGCTTAACCTCCTACTGTTCCTGCTCTTCTTACAACTCCTTCAAGCCTTCATGTAGCATTTTTGTTGCATGACAGCTTCTGGAATGAATTGCAGATGAACTGTGATTCATCAAAATGATTAGTTGCTGGTGCCTGTTTTTGGCAGCTAGCAAGTGGCGTCAGATGATTGGTTGACATGACTAAAAACAGCGAACAAATAACGAATAAATTGCAATAGAGAGGTAGTAAAACACATGATGACTGATTTTACTAATACCAATGAAAGCAAAGAAGATACAACGTTGATCTACTGTTCAAGAGGTGGATCGTCTCTCTACAAATTCTAGACGCCACTAAGAACAGAAATAGAAAAGAAAAACTGCAACGATTCAAAACGTAAAACAAACCCTAGCCAATTAGCCCTCATAAACACTCTCCAATAACCATTCAAATTTTCCCCTGAAAGTCCCTTTAATTCCCCTCTTATACTTGATTAGCTATTATGTGGCCCGCCCCCAACCGATGCTGAAATCATCCTCAGCCCCTCCTAGGGTTTTCAACCCTGTTGGCAAGGACAGCGGGCCAGGCCGGTTGGTCTGGCTAATTCTGGCAGCTCTAGACCGGTCCTCCTTGGACCGGCCTCCCGTCTGTAGGTGCTGTCTTCTCGTTGGCTCTCCCATTTTGCAGAAGTAGGCGTATCAACACTCCCCTCCAAAGAAACACATTGTCCTCCTCAAGGTGGAATGTTGTAACTTGCTTTTGGATTACCTTGTAAGGCTCTCATGTTGCTTCATAATTTCACAGATATTGCCACTTAATCAATATCTCTTTTGCTCCAACAATTCCTTGGTACACTCCTTCGAACTCTACAGGTTTCAAAATCACCTCCATGTTCACTGTCAGTGTTGGAGGTAGTAAATACGATGGTGTATGATCTTCAATAACATGCCTCAATTACAAAATATGGAAGATTGGATGTATTGTTGATGATGGTGATAACATCAAATGGTAGGCCACTACCTTGATATGCTCTATGGCCTCATAGGGTCCAAAATATTTGGCCCAAACAATTCACTTTGCCCAAAACTTCGACACATCCGATGCAAAATTGTTGAGATTGTACTAGCTGGGAAGGCACCAAAGGGATTTCGATATGGACTCTGTCGATATAGTCACGATTAGGACTGGGATCTTGAAGTAGCAGCGACGTTATGAGTTGGGATCGTGAGGGTTGAAGGCCGCAACTTGTCAGGATCTTGAAGTAGCAGCGACGAGACGAGCAGGGATTGCGAAGCAACCGCAATGTGTAGGGTTGAGATAGGTATCTTGGCGAAGCTACCGGGATTAGCAGAGTCATCTTGGGTAAGCAATCGCGTTTAGAACTGAGTAGGTTTCGACTTTAAATAGGGAGACAGGAGCAACTTAGTGGTTTTCGTACGTGGCAATCCTGTCATTGCGACACAGGGTGGTAGGCCTGGTTTGGTCTTGCTTGGGGCTCGGAGTGAACTTCATCCTTGTGATTGAAAATATCAGGAGACGGAGATAGTGCGGAATGTAAGGGATTGAAACTTTTGGGGAAGAAGGATCTCAAAATTCAAAAGGTTTTGGTCGGGCTCATACATGAAGTTAGCCTCTCGACGATGTCGGCCATATTTTTTTTGAAATAAGATTTTAAAATTTAAATTTAGTATATTATATAATGTAATTTTAATTTTGTGAAAATAGTTTTCTTTATTTTTGAAAAATGATGATACCAGATAGACCTCATATATCTAATAGTTTAAATAGCTGAGCACGATACCATGAATGGTATATCATCTGGAAGGATGATCGAATCACTTATTAGTAGACTTAACTATCCAAACTTAAAAGTTTATGACTCTATTTTGGTCTGCGAATTTATAGCCGACAAAATTCCCTATCTAATATACAGATTAGATAGGGTTTAGATTAATCTGGGTTCTTAATTCCCTATAGAAGCAAACCCCTATAGTTAATTACATCTTAGACAACTGAAGTTACCTAAGAAAACTCTCGATTAAGATCAGAGTTTTATCTTCAAGAATTCAACGTTCAGGTTTTCAAGATTGTTCATAGGAAAAGTCAAATGGGATAGGTTCAAGTGGGAACAGTTATTTCCAGAATCCAAAGAAGTGAAGAGTAGAAGATGTCGAAGATACTGAAGAAGATTCAGAAGTGAAGAAGATTCAGTGACATCTCAAACTAACCTATGATTTGGTTTTACATCTTTGAAAGAGAAATTATTTGATGTTTTAGTCCTGCAAATTATTTAGATACTCGAGGCTTATAATTACATTTCATTTGTAAATGACTCGAGTAAATGTGAGGATTTATGTCGTACCGAACGACGACCTCGAAATCCTAAAAAAACTTAGGATTTATATCGTACGATATGAAAATCGTAGAAAATCCTAAAAGATAGTGTGAGAATTTACATCGTGCCAGACGAACGACCTCAGCGTCCTATAGGTGTGTTATTTAGATCTATCTTCGGTTGAAGCTCCTTTTTTCACCTTCTGTTGTAGTTTCGACCGTTGTTCGGAGATGAATCGTCACTTGAAAGCATCGTCATCATCTTGTCTCGAGAAGAAGGGAGCGAGAAGAGAGAACACCATGTCTCGAACGACCTATCCTAGGGTGTTATACAAACATACTAGGAAAACAATATTTGAAAGTATAAATATGGATGAATGTCTATAGTACGATGCAGTACAGGAAAGGGACAACTGTGTAGTAAAGTACTATAACATGAAAAGATTGAAGGAAAATCATGAAAGTAAAGCAATATAAAGAAAAGAGAAACTGTGCAATAAAAAAATACAGTAAAGAAACAAAACTGAATTAACTAAATGTACCTGATTAATTCTGGCGATGCTACAAAACATATTACAATTGCATGATATAAATGGGACAAATATTTGCAAATGATAAAAGAAAGGTTAAGTGATAACCATATGAAAATTTAAAGTGGAATATTAGCTTTTAATTTGGGTTTAAGCTTAGACTAGACCTCTTTTTCTCTTTTATCTTGATCCCACAGGCCGCTGATATATCAAAGTCAACCTATCAACATCAACTAGAGGTCACCAACGAATCACCCCTATAATCAGACAGCCCTAGACCCCATTGTTCAATGGATGTGCGAATCTAAATAGTATCCGAACTTATCTTATTAAAGATACAAAGTACCTATGTGAGATAATATCTGAACTTATCAGGGCGTAGTGTACCTATGTGTGATGCTAGGATAAGTGATGTATAGTATCCAAACTTATCAGGGTGTAGTGCACCTATGTGTGATGCTAGGATAAGTGATGTATAGTATTTGAACTTATCGGGGCGTGGAGTTCCTATACGTGATGTTAGGATAAATGATGTATAGTATCTAGACTTTCAAAAGAAATATAATATCTATTCTTGTGGTATCTGTCGTACAGGGCGTAGTGTGTGGTGTTCGTTGTATAATATCTGAGGTGCATTATGCTATTCGTGGTGTAGTGTATGAACTGTATAGTACATGAGAGTCATAGTGTATGAAAGACATATTGTATGAAAGACGTGGTGTATGAAATGTGTAGTGTGTATGTGAGTGTAGTACTCATGGAATGGTTTGTTGTGTATCTGTTCTTTCTAAGTACCATTTCCCAAATCTTTTTGGAAGGGTTGGAGCTGCCGACGATTTAAGGAAGTGAAAGGGCATTGCATTAATTGAGTATTGATTTTATATTTCAGCTATAAACAAAACTGTCAAATGGTTCTTTGTATCATCGCCTGTTGTCCCTCATCTCGAGCTGATAGGCCACCTCAATATTTCATATGCTCATCCAATTTCGTATAGTTCATATCAAGAAAATGAGAGAAGTAATCAGAAGTAATCATTTAGAGAAGTAATCATTTAAGCATTTCTATAACATCTACTTCTCACCCTTGAGTTCAAACTTTAAGCATATACATATCACCATACGAATTTTCACGCATAACCATTAAAGAATAGTTGCCGATTTACATACATATCACATCGGCTTTTATGTATTTACATATTTAACACTTTAACTTTTTATTTTTTTAAAACAACCTTGAAATATCTCTCTAAATATCTGTACAGCATATGAGAACATTAAGAAAGTAAAACAATTCACTCATGTCCCAGAAGATATAAAATATTGCAAATAAATTTTGAATCCGTTCAATGTGATAATCCACCAGCTAAATGTAAGCACCAATGACTCGATTTTCAAAGCAATACTGAGATTTTAATTTGTAATATCGAATGAGGGAGGGTATATGAAAAGAAAGTCTAAATCCACAGAAAATATGCCACTGTAAAAGAAAAGGTGAACA